ATTCATCAAAGTTATATTATTTTGTGAAGATTATCTTGATGGACAAAACGTGTAATTTCATGAACTTTGATTGAACACAAAGTTTATTTTTTGCGATAATCCTGGTATAATAATGGAAAAATCTTATTGGCTTTTTGTCGAGATAGATAGATAGATAGATAGAGATAGATATTTACTTTACTTCCTTATATCCAAAATCTGAGTTTGCTACCTCAGTTTGAATTAATTTAAAAGGCATTCTCAAATCAACTTAAAGAAAGTTCTGAATGCGAGTGCAGTGTGTCTCTCTCACCAGTCCCCACCAGAGGGCGTCTGCATAGGTGTCAAAGTCCTGTGGGGCTGGTGTTGGGGAGGGGCCCTCAGTGTATGATGGCTCCACGGTGACATCATCCTTCTCAACCAGGTACACCAGGAAAGAAGCCAGGATCAATGACAGGAAGCCGATGTACCACGCTGTAATCAGCTCCTGACCGCACACACCAGCCGGGAAACACACACACACACACACACACACACACAGCAGTACTGAGATCAAACTTCACCAGACACTGATATCTGATTGTTTGTGCTTGCGTATGTACTTTGAACGTCTGTGTATCGCAGACCATAGCATTTTTGAGGAATGAATGTGCGTCTACTTGGGATTGTGTGCACATTGCCGACCCCATCAGTTTATTTGAGCATGCTTGACATGATTTGAACAAGCAAGACGTGCTCTTAGATGTTGATCAAGAGGGAATGGCCTGTTGGCGTACATCACATCATGTGTGTGGATACCTTGCTGTGTGTGTATATTGCAGATCCTAGCAGTTTCCAGGTGCCTCCGCGGCGGTCCATTCGTAGCATTCGAAGGATCTGCAGGAAGCGCAGACTGCGCAGCGACGTGGCCAACACATTTCCCTGGTTTCGTACGGCAACCACCGGCACCGAAGCAATCAGTACAAAGATATCTGACAACATAGAGAGAGAACATAGAGAACATATAGCCTCTTATGCTCATTAAAGCTGCCTGTATTTGATTAAAAATACAATAAAAATTGTAATATTGTGAAATATTATTACAATTTAAAATAAACATTTTCTATTTGAATATATTTTAAAATGTAATTTATTCCTCCGATGGCAAAGCTGAATTTTTCAGTATTGTTACTCCAGTCTTCAGTGTCACATGAGCCTTCAGAAATCATTCTAATATGCTGATTTAATTTTCAAGAAACATTTCTTATTATCAATGTTGAAAACAGCTGTGCTGCTTAATATTGTTATGGAAACTGTGACACATTTTTTCAGGATTATTGATGAATGGAAAGTTCAGAAAACAGCATTTATTTGAAATAGAAATCTTTTGTAACATTATAAATGCCTTTACTGTCACTTTTGATCAATTTAATGTGTCTTTGCTGAATGAAATTACTTTCTTTCAAAAAACTCCCAAACGTTTGAATGTAGTTGTGTACGTATGTGCATACTGTATGTGTATGTTTCAGTGTGACTGTGTTCGTTTGGGTCAGTGTGTTTAACTCACCCAGGACACACAGCGGTTTGCGGGCGAATTTGAGCCGTCCTCTCCAGCCCTTATATCGACAGCAGCAGCCGGCAGCCCATATCCTCAATGCAAACTCGCCTCCAAAAATAAAGATTGTAAATGTCTCCTACAGGTGAGAGAAACATTGTCATATTCCTCTCAACCATTAAATCTCACACACAAACACTGCATTGGCTATGAACATAAGGCACACACTCACCAGAATCAGCAGCCAGTGAGCCGAATCTTTCTCATGCTCTTTGAACGTTGTTAAAATTGACAGAATCAGGCATCCCAAAACAATCAGAAACCTAGAAATTCAGAAAACAGAGAGTGAGCGGGAGCTTCATTCAGTGTATAGATAGGTAGGTAGATAGATAGATAGATAGATAGAGCTGTGGGGAAAAAAACGGAATGAATATCTTTTTTAGTTGCTATGGATACCTCAGCTGAGTCATGATAAAATCTTTTCTTTTTTTTTTTCTATCTCGGAAAGACCTGCTACCTTTAGATATAAACGCTCATGGCACCATTTTACCAGCAGAGGGGGCTGGTGAATATACTGCACTGTATTGGGAGAGAGAGGGATGTATTGGATATATCCTCCCTTCTCACACACACTTGCACAAAAATCCTATTACCAGATGCTGAGCTGGTAAGATTTACAAGCTTATTTTTTTTTACAACAGGTAATCAGAAACCTGGTGCTACTGTATACTGTATAGGATGCCTCATTAATTTTCCTTCCTGAATATCAAGCCAAACAAAGATGCATGCTGTGCTCGCTAACCTGGATATTTAATTATGAGAACTGAAAAGAAACTTTAAATTCTGTCATTTACTCGCCCACACGTCTTTAGAAACCCATAATATGATTTGTATGCTCCACAAAAAGACAAAAAAGACACCATAAAAGAAGCATAATAGAGTAAGAGTGAAGGAGACTGTTTTCAGCAAAAACCAAGTTGGCATGAAATAAAAATTCTTCCTATCAATGCGATAAATCAACGCTTATCTTATTATTCGCCTATGCATGTCTCATTTTTCAAAACGTTTTTTTTTTTTTTTCTTCCAGTGAAATTAGATACTCATCTCTGGTAAAGTATGCAGTTCTGTATAGAACTGTTTAGTCCAACACTTTCTCACAATCGACTGTAAGCTTACATTCAGACCAACCAATAAATGTGTGTAATGATTTGTGTATGCAAGTGACTGTCCTCCGATGCCATTTTCTGCAGTGTTGTTCTGTTACATCTGGGAATCTAGCTGTACTGTGTGGCATCCAGCAGAGCACACATGCAGACTCACATATTTCCCTTATCGTCCTCACTCTATTCGTCAGTTGACCTGTTGTCAGTTTCTATGGTTTTGCATTTGTAGGTTATATCTGTGCTGTTTCCATGGTTACACATATTCATCACACACACATATACACAGTCATACACACTGCTACATGCTCAGCATCTGGTCTCCAGTGAAAGCTTTTAACATCAGCACACTAATAACCTATAATGGTCATACTACTCTCTCTCTTACTGTGTGTCGACTGAAGTGTGCAGGGTTTTCTTGAAGAGTGATGCTTCCCTCAACAGAACAATGGAATGCCACGACTCTCAGGGTGCTCATTCTCAACTGTTGCTCTAAAATATGATTATGTTCTTAATGAAAATGGCTATTAAGAGAGAAAACCGCTCTACAACCTAGAATGTAGAGATGATTATGAAAAAATATGACTATATATAACTAATTTAGGCTTAAAAATTTGATCAAGCGAATGTGTTTGAGATAAATAAATCCACATATAAAGTGTTATCCACACAATAATTTTTTTTATAATTTTTATTAAATATTATTAAAAAGACAAAAAAAATAAAACAATACAAAAATATATAAATATAAATAAATAAAATAAATAATTTTAGCATAATTATTGTTAAACTTTTCTGCTCTCTTTGACCATTAAAATTTCACAGGGAATTTTTGGTGTGAGGTGAGCAATGCATCTAATATTACATAATCAAATGTTTGTGAGGTCTATAATGTCAAAGCTTGAAAAATAATGGTGGTGTCTTATTTCATAATCAAATCAGATGACTGCATTCCAGCAACAAGATACATGTGTGTGATCACCCAATAGGCATCACTGATGTGTAACCGTTGATAGTCATGTGCTGATGCATTCATTTGTCTGAGGTTACAAAGTTGAGAACAGTCTCTGTGAGTTGAGTCATTTTTGCAGCTTGGTTTCAATTAAAGTATTCCCCAACATAGAGAATCACAAAAAACAAAACAAAACAAAACAAAAAAGCAAAGCAAAAAAACTAAACAAAAAAGCAAAGCAAAGCCAAAAAAACAAAAACAAAACAAAAAAATCTAAGAAAAACAAAGCAAAGCAAAAACAAAACAAAACAAAAACAAAACAAAAAAGCAAAGCAAAAAAACTAAACAAAAAAGCAAAGCAAAGCAAAAAACCCAAAAACAAAACAAAAAAATCTAAGAAAAACAAAGCAAAGCAAAAACAAAACAAAACAAAACAAAAACAAAACAAAAAACAAACAAAACAAAACTGTGGAAAAATACTAAAACTTTGAAAACTTCCTTGCAAAAAACAAGATACATAAGACAAAAAACACAAAACAAAAATTCCAGCAACAAGTGTCTGATCACCCTATAGGTGTCATCACGTGTTGATGCTTTAATTTGTCTGATAAAGTTGCGGATGTTTATAACGAGTCATTTGTGCAGCTTGGTTTCAATAAAAGCTCTTTTTGTATTGACAGGAAGTTTTAAAAGTTCCAGTATGTTTCCACAGTATATTAGACTCTTTTATCCAACAACATCAAGGAAAATCTGATTGTTCGTAAAATGACCCACTCAGTGCTGTTTACAAAGAATTGTTAAAGATGTTTGTTGAATATAGAGGTTGGCGAGAGCAATCCACACCAATCAATAGTGATTAAGCTGGTAAGTGGATACAGTAAAATCTGGGATCATTTTATACTCCACTGAATGGAGGCAACTATGCAGTGTGCTAACTAAAAACCAAATAAGACCATCGGCAATGCAGAGACAAGGTATATTTTTTGAGAATGCATATTAATTATGGGGTAAACATAGGGCTGGACGATATGGCCAAAATTTATATCACGATATATTTCTTAATTTCGGTCGATACAATATAATTCCGATATCGATATGAACACTATTTATCTGAAATATAAATCTTTTGTAACATTATAAATGCCTTTATCATCACTTTTCATCAATTTTAAGCATCCTTGCTAAATAAAAGTATTAATTTCTATAATTTCTTTCCCAAAAAAATAATAAAAATTATACTGAATGGAATAGTGTATAATGTTACAAAAGCTTTTTATTTCAGATAAATGCTGATCTTTGGATCTTTCTATTCATCAAAGAATCCTGAAAAAAAATTTACTCAACTGTTTTAAATATTGACAAAAACTGGAAATGTTGCTGGAGACGGGCTTATTGAAAACGCAAATTCATTCTCTGCCAGCAGGAGGCGCTTTTAGAGTGATGAAACTAGCGGTTTCCCCGGTAACGGCTGTAATCAAAGCAGCTCTGCTTATGAACTCTACTTTATCAGATAAAAATGAAAATCTCATCGAAACTTTTCTGAAGACAGTCTGTTCCCTTCAGAGATACATTCATATAAAACACCCGCACCGCGTTTTGATTTTGAAACGTGTAGTGCTCATGTTTATTCAACGAAGTCAAACAGCACAAATAAATCAATGTACGTTATGGGAAACACCAGTAATGTATATCGAAATATCGGAAATGTGTTTAAAAATCATATCACCGTTATTGAAAAAAATTATATCGCGATACATATTGATATTGAATTATTGTCCAGCCCTAGGTAAACATGATCAGTGCTACTACTACTAATTAATCTACTACTGTTACAATTTACCATAGAGGCCCAGTTTTTTAAATATTCAAAAAATAATAATTTTGGTTATATATGAACGTTAAGGGAACATTCCATTTTATTATTTTGTAAACATTAAGGGAATGTTACGTAACGTAGTGTTACGTCTCTGAACATTCTGAAACAAGTAGTAACATTTAAAAAATGTTAGACGAATGTCCAACTAAAACGTTTCAGAAAAATGTTCCATGAATGATCTATAAATAATGTTTTTGTGCTATTGTTTTGAAAACATTGTTAAAGACCAGATAACTTTCAATTAACATTCTATTAACTTTACTGAAAGAACGTTTGTTTACAACTTGCCAGAACGTTAGCCGTTCCCGAGGGATATACTCTATTCTACAGAACGAAATTCTACAGTATTTCTCATTTCAGTCTCTTTTTGGGTCTAAAACATAAAGATCAAGAGAACAGCAGAAGTGCAGGAAACATAAATTGCCCAAAACCCAAAATACTGTGCATGTCTTCGAAAGAGAGAGTCTGTCATGGAAGCTTCCCTATGCCTGTGTTCTGTCTTGGTAATGCTGTGAGAGTAATGTGTGTGTGTACATGTGCATCTGTGAGAATGTGTGTGTAACTTGGCTGTTTGTCTGATCGATGTTGAGGGCATATTGGCTGTAATGGGAGCATCAATATATGAGGTGAGTCATAACAGGACACATCAACATTTATAATAAAACACACACATACACACACAGCCGTGCGGTTCTGCCCCATAGCATGCTGGATACAAGAGTGAATTATTCTGTAGTACTTGTGAGGAAAAGAGAAGGAGCCAGAGAGAGAGAGAGAGAGAGAGAGAGATGTAGCCCCATTAGAGGTTATTAGTGAGGTGGATGTTAAAAGCACAGTATTTCTCTGCTGATTTCAGGGAACAGCAGATTACAGCTCTCACCAGAGACCAGAGCACAAAGCAGCAAGCATGTGCAGACAAGAGCTTTAAAACCCCCCAAAATGGGTTTCCAGGTCTATTTTGTTTGGCTGATTTTAAAATACTAATGCTGCAGGGTTATTTGTATTATTTAGACAAACTGAACTGAAAATGTGTATTATGTCTTGAAATGACTTATCAGAGAGCCATGAGGTATGTGCCCCCTTTGTGATTTTTTTTAGATATCTTAATGGTTGTAGTTTTTGAAACAAAATGTAATGTTGCACAAAAAGAACCTAAATGGAAAAGTAAATATAGTGAACATACACTCAAAAAGTAAATGCCACATTAAACCTAATATCTGCTTGGATGACAATTAACTGCAACTAAACACCTCCACAAGTTTGTTCAGACTCAGAACTTTAACAAGGCCACACCCGGATCAGGAGCTGCCGTGTTCTTGGGAGAAATTTTTGTCC